GTGATTATTAACATATACATCTAGTCATGAAATACATGCTGACTAATGAATTATGAGACGCGTGTGATTATTAACATATATACCTCGTGATGTAATACATGTTGACTAATGAATTATGAGATGCGTGTGATTATTAACATATACATCTAGTCATGAAATACATGCTGACTAATGAATTATGAGATGCGTGTGATTATCAACATATATACCTCGTGATGCAATACATGTTGACTAATGAATTATGAGACGCGTGTAATTATTAACATATACATCTGTCATGAAATACATGTTGACTAATGAATTATGAGACGCGTGTAATTATTAACATATACATCTAGTCATGAAATACATGTTGACTAATGAATTATGAGACGCGTGTAATTATTAACATATACATCTAGTCATGAAATAGCATGCTGACTAATGAATTATCAGACACGATGATTAATATACGTGTCTCATGCTGAAATGGTGATTTTATATATTAGTAGAAACTTCTGATGACCGATATAAGAGCCTAACCCTAAAATTATTATTGATCTTGTGAATTAGTCGATACTGATAATCAGTATACAAGTCTCGCGCCGAAATTCTTATCGATGTATTGAATTAGCAAGCACGCATGATGACCAAGACGATAGCAACATACTGAAATACGTTCTTTGACCGTAGGCTAAAATCATAAGTGTCATTTTACACTATGCTTGTTCAGGTAAGATAAATTATTCTTTGTTTGATTAATGTTTTTTCAAGACTTGATTAGTAAAATGAATCCAATTCATACAACAAAAAAGACTAATTTGTAAAAAAAAAAGAAACCCAAGAGTATATTCCTTTCTATTTTCCTTAGTATTCGCAGTATTTTTCGGACTATGCAACTGTAATCCTTTTTACACTGGAAAAACAATACTCCAGTTAACTGCGAACACATATATACAACTCCAAATGCTCCAGGCTCTGCAACTGAGCATACATAGGAAGGCAGCAACCTTCAACTTTTGATTAAAAATTTCAAAGTGATCCCATTCAGATCACTTTTAATTATCTATTGTAAATAAATTCCCAACTCTAAACAATAACACAGCTTCGTTACAGTTAAGTTTGTCCTGAGCAATTTAATTAATGTTAATAACATAATATTGTAGCATTTGTTACACTCTATTCTCATATTTAAAAAAAAATGATTTCATTCTGTTACTTTTCCTCTTTGTAAAACGTTGGATCTTTAGAAATGTTTGTATCTAATGTTTTATCTTGTTTAATATAATTGACTGAAGATGGAATGTGTATAGTCCAAAGCGTTCAAGTATTAAAGGTCTGTTGCTGTTTTAACTTCTATTCTCGTCTAATGAGTGTGTTGGTTTATGGACACGCACACTGAAACTGAACAAGTATGTGTGTCGTTACTGGGGTTACATTTTCTTATATCTTTACGGTATATCGTATATCAGGCAAGCTGTATGTCGGGATGGCTCGGATTGTTCATCAAAATGGTATTTTAAATATCTCATCAATAGGTCATCAGAACTTTACAATACTATTGTGTTTCCTTTTTTAACAATATCTATGTAATGACTGAGTCAGAAGTTCTGGGAATGTCTGTAAGTATCGTAGCAAAAGGTTTGAATTTCTTGTTCTTTCTTCTTCTGCATTTTTTTTATTGCCACCAGTGGCACAGCAGTATGTCTGCGGACTTACAACGCTAGAAACTGGGTTTCGATACCCGTGGTGGGCAGAGCACAGAGAGCCTGTTATGAAGCTTTGTGCTTACCTACGAACAAACCTTTTTTATTACATGATAACTCAAAAACTAAAACAGGTGTCAACCAATTACATTTAGTTGTCATACTATCCGCTTTTATAAGGGTTATTAATAACTAGTAATAATTTAAAAACATAATAAACGATGTTATCATTACCCCTTGAATTTAGCTTTCTTACAGACATTTGGTGTTTGTTTAAAAAAGTTTAACTACAGGATGAAAGAGGAATTACCGACCAATAATAAATAAACAATAAATATCACAACTGGAACCTCATTGTATTTAGAACGTGGTTATAAATACAACCTTCCTATGTCTATTGAAACACTGCATTAAAAAAATACAAGCAAACAAGTAAAGAAAACTTTTCAATAAAGGAAGTAAAACTATCCTGTTTGCATTGTTTTTGAAGGATTGATATTAGCCATCACTACATTTTATTCCTTTATCGAAAAAATGTTTTCAAGTCACGTGCCTGTTTTGTAATGATAACTACCATGGATTATATAATTTATAGATCTTATTAAACCTTATGCTTCATTAGATTGATACAATCAGTAGAATTCAGCATTAAATATAAGAGTCACAACGATGTAACTAACTGCGAAATAATAGTCGGAATACGTTGCTTAGCAATCCATGAAAGTTAAAGTAGAATTCGCGTGAAATTAGTAACTAAAAGATCCAAGTATTGATTTCGAAAGACGCGTTTTGCGGTTGCGTTTTGTCATTGGTGGATTATTTAAACATAACCACGTTTGATAAATAAATGTCCAACCAATGGTTACCTTATGTCAAATACAGAGCATTACTTACCTCTAGACTGCTAGATAGGAAAAGTAAGCACCCGTAAGTTTTCTTTCCCTCCAGACCTAACGTGACAACCTCTTCCAATCAGTACCACAAGCTATCTGTTCTTCTCACCACCACTTCCCACTAGTACTTTCTACCAAATTACATGCACAAACTCTTTTGTGTACATAAGGCCTTTAACTGCGTGATTATTGGCTGCAGCAGAAAAAGACGACGTCAGCAGCCTTTTATGACAATCCACAATAGACCAGAGGAGTAATAACTCACCAGTTCATTCATCACGGGAATAGGCCCATAGCTTTAGATCCCTTATACACCGGGTGCACGAGCTCCGGCCTTTTCTCTTCGTCTTATCAGTTGCCGCGAGAGCACGCGTCTATTTAGACCGACCTGCCGTGAATAGAGAAAAACGATAGAAAGAGCGTGAAATGTCATAACTGCAAAAGCAGGAGTATATGGGGTCTACTTCAGCTCACAGACACAAAGGATTAAATAAATGGATAGGAAACATCTCATAGCAGTAGATGAGGAACAAAGGACTGCAACTTGAAGATGGCCCACGAGACGGGCTTATAATACAGAGTGATGTATAGCCTTCTATTCACTTTGTATTCTGTGAGAACGATGAACACGGCCATACACACAGAGATATTTAGAATGATAGCTATATATATATTTGTAGATATCTAAAAATATATAATGTGCATAATTTATTTTGATTTCGGTTACTTAGTTAAAACACTTCAATAAAATGGAACAAACGCGAAAACAAACTGGTTAAACATATTCTCCTGTCGGAGGGGGGTATGGTTATTTATGGAATGTGACAAATAAATATTGTTTCATTCTTAGATAGAGAAGCTGAAACAGATGATGTTATTAACACAAGAGACAAATATTTCCAGCTCTCGAGCCGGCAGGAAGCTGATGATATGCCAGAAGCGTGAAATCCATACCTTAAGAACTTTTAGAGCTAACAACGCTACCCCCCCCCTCTCTCTCTGTTTCGTCTCTTACAGAAGGACTGACGATAGGATGAGATCGGACATAAAATACTAACGGCATTCGTTTGCTCGTTATCTCGAGGCAATATAGGACTGCTAGAAGTTTACAAAGCTTCCATAATCATCCGCTGTCATTTTTCACCGTAAATCGCTTTTGTGACGCACACCGCAAAGAAAAGAGCCGACTTATTGTTCGGGAGAAAATCGATGACCACACAATGAGACTTCTCTCTGTATTTTCAGTGTGACTCTGGACTTCCACGAGATGAACCTGTCACCTAAAACATTGGTTTCACCAATAAAATATCGTCGAAACAGCACAGGTTTTTATTTGTTTTTTCTTATTCGCGTATTAATATCGCGATGTGTTTTCTTTCGTAATTTAAGAATAATACAAACATGCACACTACGTAAAAGGTTTAAGACACGTGATGAAGAACCTGATCTGGGTAGCATAAGGAAACCTTTAGATATGAACATCTTCAGCCATTAGTTTTATAAGAACAAGCAGTGATATCTACAAATAAGCTATTTTAAAAACGGACATCCTATTGCTTACTTGTTTAAACTATTTTTTAACAATTATTTTACGTGACTTGTTATCAGTTGGGATTCTTCAAATTGAATGTAAACGTGTATTAAATAAAACATGTCCACCTACAGTTATGACATTTAATGAATCGTTGTAACTTGCAACTGAAGTTTGTAACATAGACGACTAACTTTTGTTTTTGTCTACGGACTTGCAACGCTAAAATCAAGGCTTAGATTCGCCGCGGTGGACACAGCGGATAGCCCAATGTGGCTTTGCTCTCAAACAACCAAACCAAACTTTTTTTTTTCACACGCATTCGTTTAATGTTTAATGACCCTTGGTAAATACCAAGAGTAAATTAAGATGCTTATGACGATATCATTCTAATATAATTATCATGTCTTTACTGATTCTAGCCAATAAAGTCTCTCCAGTGACTAATTGGTAAAATGCAGGGATTATAGTGTTCAAATTCTGAGTTCGATCCCTGTAATGAACAAAGCGTAAGTTGCCTTTTGTGAAACTTTATGCTTAAAACAAAGTAACTGCCTAAATCATAGGCTGTTAAAATATCATAGACAAGGAATACTTAAACTCAATACAAGATTTTCAAGATTGCATGTATAAGATTAACTTTATTTATTACATGTGGAATCCAGCATAACATTTAAAACTTATGTGTCAAATTACCTTTTTTATTTTATTTTATTTTTGCACCACAATAAACATTAACTTGATTTACACGTGCTTTATTTAAGTACCTGCATACTATGTTAACTGGTGCTTGGGTGTATGTATAAACCGCCATCGAGGCATAAACTTTCAGCTTTCAGTTTAATATTTCAGTGAAAACACGTAGTTTGATGATGAACTGGTTTATGAGTTATCTATTGAAGCTCTGCATTAATACATTGCTATTCACTTTTAATATATCTGTTGAACAAGCTCTAAGACACCAAAGATTGCGATACAAATTACATTTTTTAACGATTATTTTCAGAGATAAGTCTGTATGTGATATTTACAAGAGCCATAACTTTATCATCCCATCTATTACCTGGAAACCACACATCATGTAATTAATTTTATGCTTATATAGATCTCTGACAGGATCACATCCCTGACTGATAACTGCTAGATTTCCCTATCTTTGCTTGACACGGGTGGCTATATTTCGGGGCCACTTTCTTCTTTGCTAAACACCACGTGTATATCTTTTCACGTTTCGATCATCCCTACAGTTTATGGATAATGTGATACTTTGAGAATCTTAGCTCTAATGCATTAAAAGCATATTTTGAATATTTCTAGTACAGTACTGAAATAGGTGTCTGACAATAAGATCACCTCTCGCATTTTGCACACTAAGCACCTCTGAAAACATCTTTTACTGGTGGTCAACTGCCATGTGACATTGCCTGGACTGTCCTTTGAATGGTGTGGTTAATAGACTGGCAGAATAGTTTATTGTCTCTCACATTTAATAAGCCTGTCTAACTAGCTTTCCCTCAGTCAGTCAAAATCAGCTGACTGCCACAGGTTTCCCCCAGTAGAAGATATTTCCTATGCCGATTGGCACACTTAATAAACACTGATTACAGTTGACTTTGAACAGCCAGGCACAGAAATGATTTTTAATAAAGACATTCCTGCTAGACAATCAGCAATTATCACACCCCTCTTTAAGTCCTCCTGATCGTTGCTCTTGCCCTTTGTCTTGTAGACTAGGTGTAACATAGCTACAATGTCGCACTTTTAAGTCTCAATCTATCACCTGACATAACACATGGTTAGCCCTTTTCCACATACAAGTATTTGGAGTATTTGTCGCACATGTGCAGGAGTTCCAATGAAGTGGTCAGTCAGTATATAATTCCTTTTACTGGGTCCTTTGAAAACCAAAACTTACAAGACAAATAATTCATCCTTCTGTCAAAGACAGTTGTAATAGAATACGATGAAAGTACGTCAGCAGTTTAATGATAGTAAAGGCTAGTAAGATCAATAATCAGTGCATTTATTTCGAAATTTACGAATAGTTTGGATATATCAAATGAAAAGTAATAGGTTTAAAGATTCTCCCATAATAAGTTGGATGAAATTCATCATAAGAGAGTAGCCTTAAATATAAAACAAAATGTGTAACAATGTATAATATATATTTATAAAATACATAACTCTTATCTTCATTAGCTTTATGGAATTTATGTCAAACGCATAATGTTTTATTACGATAACTGATTGTACGTGTAACCTTGCTTTGTGCAGTATTCTTGTAGGCCAGTATCAATGGATAAACCTAAAAAATCTGAACTGGTCCAGAAGATACACTGTTATAACAAAAGCAAATTAAAGATGATTTAGAAGCACCAGCCATTATGATATACTTTCGGATATCTTTAATCTAAAACAAAACAAAATTTTGTTGAAAGAGCCAAATGTAATATTGCTTTATGCACGTTAAAAATGGAGTAATTTTGCCATACAACGTAATCTTAGATCGTAAAGAAACTGTGTTAAAAGCACCTAGTGTGAAAACGTTTTCCCGTATAATATTATTTTAGGTTAGCCTAAGATTATTTTGTCGGCTATGACAGTTTTTTAAAATATAAACGTTTCAATTACTGTTTCGTCAAAGGGAGTTTTCACGTCGCGTGAAGTGCGTGGCTTAATGATTAAAACTTTCTTGAAAATCTCCAAAGTGATTGAGCTAGAATAAAACGTAAGTTAGACTAGAATAGCATGATGCTGATTTGTGACTCTGTTACAGTAGGGCCTGGCATGACCAGGTGGGTAGGGCGCTCGACTCGCACTCTGAGGGGTGCGGGTTCGAATCCACGTCCCACCAAACATGCTCGCCCTTTCAGCCGTGGGGGCGTTATAATGTGACGGTCAATCCTACTATTCGTTGGTAAAAAGAGTAGCCCAAGAGTTGGCAGTAGGTGGTGATAATTAGCTGCCTTCCCTCTAGTCTCACACTGCTAAATTATGGACGGCTTGCGCAGATAGCCCTCGTGTAGCTTTGCGCGAAATTCAAAACAAACCAAACAAACCTGTTACAGTAGATTTTGATTGATTCAGCCAGTTAGTTCAATGCTGTAAATTTTTAGCTTGTGCTTCCAACGAAGTAATAAAAGACAAGGGAAACACTATAGATTCAAGAAAAGTAGCAACTAAATTTCTATTGAGACGTTATTTATTTATTAAGTTAACTATGTGAAACGTATACAAGTTGTACAACTTGTAGTGAAAGAAATAAAACACTTTCGTTATCATTAAGTAGACTAGATTTTGCAGTCATCTTTTAAAATAACAATCCACAAGAACCCATCTCACAACAGCTACATACATTAAGAATAAAGTAATTGTGCTAATTAACGTTATCTAAGGACCAGTATAAGAACGTATATAAACATTAGCTGCATGATTTAACTTAGTGCTCAACAATATTCATGTACAGTATAAAAAGTTTGATACAAAATAACTGTAGTTATGTCTTAATGTATAACATTTTCATAAGGTAGCACAAGAACATGGTGTATAAGCATAAGTATAAGACATAAGTTTAATCGTCCTGTGTAACGTCATCCAATGTAAGTATCGAGATGCTCATGAAGCATCAACTATACAATTAATCTTGTTTTATAACAAAACGTTAAATTTAGATTATATTATGGTGTTATGTCTTTACTTTTCTTCATTAGATATATTTAAATGTCTTTTTGTCACCGAGAATCCAGCTAGACATTTCCCAACTATTTCTTTGTAAATCTGACAGATTTA